TATATATATATATATATATATATATATATATATATTTTGTCTGAAGAATGAAACTTGGTTAGATCCTAAAGGCACGTTGTATCTAATATTTGTGAGGACAAAATTGGCAATAATGAGGCAGTTATCTACTTAATGTTGAAATGATCATAATTTGAGCTTATAATGTGTTGGGGATACTCTTTTTCTTTCATTTTAATTTTTTAATCCTTTTAGCAGTGTCTTCACACAACTATTTTGGCAAGTTTGAACTGAGATACATTTCATGCCTTTTTCTCTCCTAGGGGCCTTGGGGCAGATATCCAATATTCTCCTCAAGTCAGATGCAACGCATGACAAAGTTCAAGATGACAACACTGGATCCCGAACTACACAAGTAGAAAATAGTCAACTAGAAGGTTTCTATATAGAGCTGCCTATTACCAAGGAAATTATCGTCAATAACTCTATCAATGTCTCCATTAGGAAATGCGCGGAAACAGCTAAGAATAATTTATATTTAGAAACAGATATACCCGGAGATATTCTCCTTCATTGGGGGGTTTGTAGGGATGATTTGAGGTGGTGGGAAATTCCACCTGCCCCTCATCCACCAGAGACAATAGCATTTAAGGACAGAGCATTAAGAACTAAATTACAGGTATAGTTCTGGCTAGTTGTCTTTTTTTTTTTTTTTTTTTTTTTTTAATGCTTTTGTACTTGTTTAGGTTATGAAATATATTTCCAAACTATTGCTTCTATGGTGATGCTATTCCATTTTTTTTTTCACATATTCAAGGAAGATGTTTCTGTACTAAAGTAATTTGATAGGATTTTAAGCCCAATTTTCCCATCACTTTAACAAATTAGTAAATAAATCTCATAATGGTGATCTATTCTTAATGGACAACCAAAATTAAGACTGTATGTCGTGTCAATATCTCAAGGATTAATATTGTATTCTTGTCCTACATGTAGTTATGTTGGATGTTTTCATAAGTCAAATCTATGCTCTTTTCTTTAAGTTGTCTTATCTCATAAGTAATTGTCTGACTATTTAATCCACTTAATCTTCAAAGTTTTGTTTCTAAATAATTTTTGCAACCCAGTGCATCTTACCCTCAATCCCATTCTCGTATTTTACTGAAGTTCTTCTAAATACTGATGCAAGGTTATATGTGATAATCCTTTTATTCTAAAGTTTTATTTTAGTTATTCCCTTTCCCCCTTTTTTCTTCTTTCTCTTAGAAAACTTAGAAATTTGGTTTATGCCCGTCAGAATGCGGTATTGTAGGTGCATGCCATTCTGTGTCTTTTGATATATTTACTTCTCATCTTCTGCAGTCAAGAGACAATGGAGTGGGAAGTTCATTGCAGCACTCTTTGGGAGAAGAATTTTCTGGATTTCTTTTTGTTTTAAAGCTAAATGACGGTACTTGGATAAATGACATGGGAGATGACTTTTATATCCCTCTCCCAAGATCTAGTAGCTTAACTATTGGCAAGAGGGATGACCAATTTGAGGGTGTGCAGAGGGAGGTGACGGAAGTCACTGAAGAGTCAGGTCAAGAGGAATCTGCATCTACATTTACCGATGAAATAATCAATGAAATAAGGCATTTGGTGACAGATATTTCCTCTGAGAAGAACCGAAAGACAAAATCCAAAGAAGCACAAGAATCCATTCTTCAAGAAATTGAAAAGCTAGCTGCTGAGGCCTACAGTATCTTCAGAAGTTCAGTTCCAACTTTCTCAGAGGAAACTATTGTGGAATCTGAGGCTGCTGTCGAATCCAAGACACTAATATTTCCTGAATTGCCTCCACAAATATCCTCCGGAACAGGCACAGGGTATGAAATACTATGCCAAGGGTTTAATTGGGAATCTCATAAATCTGGAAGATGGTACATGGAGCTTAAAGAGAAAGCTGCAGAACTGGCATCATTTGGCATTACTGTGATATGGTTACCACCCCCCACAGAATCTGTTTCTCCTGAAGGATATATGCCAAAGGATTTATATAATTTAAATTCTAGGTACTAGAATAAAATCCTTTTAAAGGGCTAATCGTTTCATAGTTTTAGACGGCTGTTATCTTTAAATATTTATGCAGAGAGCCCACTGTTAAGCATGTTGTTTACCCTCAAAAGCATATGCTGTATGCTGCACCTTCAAATATTATACTTACTGCTTGACTCAAGTAGAAGGAAACATTCTATGCTCTGATTTATGCATTGCATGAAAAGAAAAAAGACTGTCAGGATGTAAAATAAGTGTGATATCTGAGAAAAGGAACTTTGACATGAAAAGTTATGTTTTTAATATTTCAGATATGGAACTATTGATCAACTGAAGGATGTTGTAAAATGTTTTCATGAAGTTGGAATCAAAGTGCTTGGAGATGTTGTTTTAAATCACCGCTGTGCTCACTATAAGAATCCGAATGGTATTTGGAACTTATTTGGAGGTCGTCTCAACTGGGATGATCGTGCAATTGTAGCTGATGATCCACATTTTCAGGTTTACGAGGATTTTGGATATTTATTTATTTTTTCTTTACTCTTTACTCAATATTGGATATCATCCTAAAAGAATTGGATAGATCTTATCTATTTTTGACATTTTTCTATATTCTCAGAACATAGCTAGTTTCTTTTGTGGGTTGTAGATAAATGTCTTTCAGTCATACTTTCTCCCCAAACTATAGGGTAGTTAAATTTCTGAGTTGCATGTTCAGATTTCATCTCCTGTTCTGTTGTGTGATGATCAGAGTGCCATTGCTCACAATCTAATTTTGCACAAGCATACTAAGCATTTGGAGATTGATTTTTATTTTGTTAGAGATAAAGTCATGGCCAAACAACTAAAGATTTGTCATATTCCTGCTCTTGATCAATGGGCAGATGTTTTAACTAAACCCCTTTCCTCCACTCGGTTAGCTTTACTACTTGCCAAACTCAATGTCAAGAGTTTCTCTGTTGATAACTCTTCACCTTGAGTTTGAGGGGGGCTGTTAAATAGTTGATTTGTATCTAATAGTTAGGGGTTAACTATACTATGGTCAAGGGTCAACTATAGTCAATAGTTGACCATATTAGACAGCTATACTCTACATCTTGTAGTATAAATACATACATGTACAGAACTTAATCTGTTCTGTTTCAATAAAATCAGTCTTGTTAAACATGTCTCTACTCTCTCTCTCTCACACACACATACATGTACAGAACTTAATCTGTTCAGTTTCAATAAAATCTCACTCATTGAGATTAACAGAGAACAATTAATAATTGATATCAAAACTCATAACATGCTTTCAGGAAGGAAGATGTATAAGGAAGATGTATTGTGTGCTTTGTTTACCATTTCCCATGGTGCTGTACATTTGAAAATGATTGATTTTCTTTTTCTTTTTCTAATTATGATAGGTTTCTGATTAAGAAACCTATTCAAGAACCTCTAAAACACCTCTCAGGACAGTAAGAAAACAAGAATGGAACCAGAACTGGATATTATTCACAAAAGAATTATCTGTACACTTACAGAAACAAGGGCTTAACCCCCTTCAACAGGCTTAATCCTGTTAACAAACAAACTACCAAAAGTGCTTACCTACTAAGCACTCCACTATTTATACAACCGTTATTCCCGCCCTTCCTAACTGTAATAAGCAGTTAGGTTGCTTAACTATGTATTTCTCTCTTCCTTCTCTCATAAACTCTCCAACTCTTCTCACTCCTATCAAATTATGTAAGCATTCATTATATGGTTCATTCAAAATTACTCTGATTATCTCATAATTATTTGTGGTTGTTTGCATATTTCATTAATTGGTAACAAAATAACTTTATATTCATAAGCCTAGATTAGAAGAATTATCAATCATTTGTAGAGTGAATGATCTTGCTAAAATAAATGGTTTGTTTTATTTACATTTATGAAATTGCTACGACATTAACACCAATTAATTTTGCGAGAGGAGACACTTTGGGAATAGCTTATTTCATATTTGTGTTCTTACAAATACGAAACTCCAGTAATTTCTATATTGTTATTAGTTTTGATGTTTCTGTCTGCAGCCACTGAAATTGTCTTTTATGTAAAGTCATGAAACTGGTACTTCTGGTGTAGTGAAAGTTCACTTTGCAAGAAACCATGGAATGGATTATTACAATTTAGTAACCTAGATTTTGGAGAATTGGTTATGATGGTATTACTTTTTCTTTCCTCTACCCTATGATTTGAATTGAAACATTCAGGATCCTTTTTGTACCTTGCATAAATAGAATCGTTTGTTTTTTAGGAGTTAATAGATAAGTTTAAGGACTAAACTATATGAAGCAAATGATCATGCGCATCACGTGAATCTAATCTTCACGCATGCCACATTTTTTATTTGGAAACCCGTTTAATATTTCAAGTATTTCATAATAAACAATGTTGGACAACAGTGACGTATTTAAAAGTTCCCTTTGTTGTCAGTATGTAGTACAATGAAGCATTTAGCTTTCTGAGCGAATCTGATGTGTATTATAATCTTTCTGCCATGCAGGGGAGGGGCAACAAGAGTAGTGGAGACAATTTTCATGCTGCTCCAAACATTGATCACTCGCAGGAATTTGTGAGAAAGGATCTTAAAGAATGGTTATTGTGGTTGAGGTTTGCATTCTAGATCCTAATTTTCAATGCCTTTTGCATGAAATGTCCACAGAATGTTTAGTCAGATGAGAATATAGTCAGCCAGTTTGTTACTTGATACATTCTTAGTTAAATTTCTGAAATAGCAATGCTGGAGATCTAACCTTCTTTAGACTTTTTATAATCTTTCCTCTTGGAAGCTGCTCCAGAATGTCTTAATCAATTAGCTTGACCAATATGCTCTGTTGCTTGAGTGTCCATGGTGGCACTTGAGCAACATTAAGTGGTGCATGCAATGATGACGCACCACTTAGGTGTTGTTTGAGCAGCAGTCCACCACTATAGTAATATTAATCTACAAACACAAATTTCACTAACATTATTTTCAAAATTTGTTATAACAATTATACTGTGTAACAAATTTTTAAAATACCAACTAAACTTCAATTAAGGTTTATGTCGTATGGTTATTTTTATACTCATACTTGAAAATTCTTACAATTATACACATGCTTATAATGTCACTTTTCAGCTTACATCCCATTTTAATCACCATAAAATCCACACATCTAAACAATATTTTTAGAATGTAATAAGCGGTTACAGATTTCTAGGGAAGTAAGCGTTGCATAATCTGGGAATTAGGATGATCGATTCCTAATTATTGGGTGTTTTAATTATAATTGATTATGTATTATGCTATAAATACATAATGTGTGGTTTGCATTAGACACACAATACACTCAGACATTATACAATTCTATATGGTATCAGTAGTTTAGGGTTTCGATCTTGGTTTATTTTTTTTTTCTCTTTGTTTTTTTTGGGTGAACAGTAACTGCGGCCATTATGTGCCCCTTTTCTATGTCACCGAGTGTCCTTTTCCTCCGGTGACCACTGCGATCGAGATCCTCTTCCTTTGGTGACCACTACGCTTCATTCACCGGTTCGATCCACCGTCGCACGCACCAACATGCGCCACCTATTTTTGGCGCATACGTCTCACCCAATTGACCGAGCTTCTCCTTTGTTGGCCGAGCTTCTCCCTGGAAAATTGAGCTTCTCCTCGGCTGACCGAGCTTCTCCTCTATTGGCCGAGCTTCTCACCGACAGATTGAGCTTCTCCTTTGTTGGCTGAGCTTCTCCCTGGAAGACCGCGCTTCTCCTCTGTTGGTTAAGCTTCTCATTGGCAGATCGAGCTTCTACCCAACTAACCAGGCCTTCTGCATGCTCCCTTATACCCCAACCCCCTTTTTAGCCCATTTCAGGTACTTTTCCCATGGCTTTTGAAAGCTAACACTCAAGTACCTCCTTTGCCATTAGTTTTACCACTGTTCTATTGATTCCATGTGAACAATTGACTAGGATGAGCAACTATAGCTCTTGGGTGTCTCTTTCTAGCTATGGCTACTATTCATCATTGGCCTCTTCATCAACTAGATATTAAAAATGCATTCCTACATGGTGAATAACAAAAATTTTATAAGGATCAACCCCTTGGCTTTCTTTCTCCCGGCGATTCTCGTCTTATTTGTAAGCTTCAACAGTCTCTCTATGGTTTGAAGAAATCTGCCCGGGCTTGGTTTGGTCGTTTCAGTTCTGTCTTGACACATCTTGGCATTACTAGGTGTGAGGTTGATCATTTTGTCTTCTCTTTTCTTTCCTTATATGGCAAGTGCATTTACCTTGTTTATGTTGATGACATTGTCATCATGGGTATTGATGAGGCTGGGATTCGACAACTCAAAGAGCACCTTTAATAACAATTTCATACTAAAGATCTCGGTCCTCTAAAATATTTCTTAGGAATTGAAGTTGCTCAATTTGCTTTTGGAATTGTCATTACTCAATGTAAGCATGTCCTACACATTCTTACTGAAACTGCCATGGTTGACTGTCGTCCTTGTGATACTCTTATGGATCTTGATATCAAGCTTCTTCCGTGTCATGGGGAGACATTGAAAGATCTGAAAAGATATCGTCGCCTGGTAGGTAGACTCAACTATCTCACTATCACCAGACTTGACATTACTTTTTGCGGTTAGTATGGTAAGCCAATTTCTAAATGGTCCTTGTGATAGCCATTGGGATGCTGTGACATGTATCCTTTGATACATAAAAAATATAGTTACTAAGATCACTTGTTACTTTGATGTGGATTAGGCAGGATCACAATCAGATAGAACATCCACTTTTGAGAACTGTGTTCTTATCGGAGGAAACCTTATCTCATGGAGAAGCAAGGAGCAAAATATAGTTGCTAGGTCTAGTGCAAAATTAGAATATCGTGCTATGGCAACAACCACTTGTGAGTGTTGAAATGTAATGTTTCTTTATTATTATTATTTATGTATGGGAACCCAACTGTTAGGTTAGGGTTTTGGGAGGTGCATGACCTTTTGTATTTTGCACCTTTGTACTCTATAAATACAGTAGTAAATTGTAACAATCTATTAAGGAAAAATACACTGTTTTACTTAATTCAAGTTCTTCAACTTGGTATTAAGAGTGAGACCTTTCATCTTCATTGTCTGTCATCAGCACTTTCGCTTTTGCCGTTCGCTACCGCCGTCCGTCGTTGCATCTTCTTTGGCGAAGTCAAGGTTATGTATGTCTCAAGAAGTGTGACTCATCCCTGGTGGTTGTCGCCTCAAGAACCTTACGTGCTGTCATGCACTGTTGTTTTCTGGCTAGCTTCGGAATCACACCATGCCGCTACCTTTTGTCTTGCTTAAGCCTCTTGAACATATTGCTGTCCATGTCCTTCTGTTTCGTTGGCCGTAACTTACACTTAGGGTTTTTCCCTCAAGATAGGATTTTCCTTTCATGTTTTCTTTTTCGGAATGGCTTCTCCTATTGGAATGACTTCCTTTCTATCTATTACTCCTACTATTACCACTGCAAAGCTCAACTGGAAAAATACTTATCTTGGTCCACTTACGTGGTTTAGGCAACTACTACTACAACTAAAAATAGGAGACATCCATGAAACAAAGCTTATTTATAACAATCAAGCTGCATTTCACATCACATCAAACCCGGTTTTCCATGAAAGAACTAAACACATTGAAAAGTCACTTTATTAGAGAAAAGGTGCTCTTTGGAGAAATTAGTACTGATTTTGTCAACTCTAGCAATCAACTGGCTGACATGTTTTATGTTCATCAAGTCCCTTAGAGGCCTTCAGATCATTTATAACAAACTTGGTACATATGACATATATGCTCTAGCTTCTGGAGGAGTGTTAGAATGTAATAATCTATCACAGATTTCTAGAGAATTATGCGTTACATAATCAGAGAAAGAAATTAGGACAATTGATTTCTAATTATTAGGTGTTTTTATTATAATTTATTATGTGTTATGTTATAAATATATAGTGTGTGGTCTGCATTAGACACATAATACATTCAAAACATATACAATTCAATAAATATCATACTAAATAGATGCTATTTACCTGAAGATAATGTGCTTACTAAGAAACTTTTTCTTATGCCTCTTGGAAACCTGGCTGTACTTCCATAAGCATAAGTCCCTACATTGACAGCATCTTCCTTTAATCAAACCACTATGACCTTTCCTTTCCAAACCCAAGAAAAGAAGAAAATGTATTGAACCAATGATAGGAAATAATAACTTACCTAGTTCAATATTATGATTAGTCTATCTTTATCCACCGGCTGCCATTTCTTCGGTGATATAATTTGTTTATAAAACAGATTATTCCAAACTTCAAAATTCTAGAGTTTAGATGAGATTTTAGAGCGGTAGAGTTTCTAACGAAATAAAGAATGAATATTGATAACTCATTTATAAACCTTTATTCTATATCTATTTTAAAATGTATCTCTAAAGAAAACTTAGATCTTACAGCTCAAGTTAATGGTGAAAGTATGTTATGCCTTTTTTATTATTAATAATAAATATTATGCAAAGATTTTCAATTTTGGATATTTTTTACACCATTTACATGTTCATACTATAGATTATAGATTATTTATCTAGTATCTATAATCTTCAATATAATGGCCATCCTGCCAACCACTAAAGCGGTTTTCAGGTAGGCCTCTATGTACCATAACTTAGGTTGGGATTGATAACCAGGCCTTTTTATCTTGCGATCCAAACACTCAGTTGATTCTTTCCTTTCTTCCTACGTTCATAATTATTTGCCTTTTGTAATATTGTTCTATTTAAGAGTATTTAAAGTATAATAGATGATCTCATAGAGTGATATGCGTATTTCATGATTTGATATCTAATTTAATTGGACATAGGAGTCTAGTATATGAATATAAACAAGGGTAAGTAATTTGTGTTTTTTGATCCTTCTAGTAAATGTTAGAGAATGTGATTCATTGTTTGTTTTATTCTCTCTCTCTCTACCTTAATCCCTATTCCCTAAAATTTCAAGAAATACTATTTTTCTACGATGCTTTGTTAATGACTTCTTTACCTCCCCCCTCCCTCATCTTTTTTTGCTTTGAAGTATTACAATAATTGTAGTTTTTTTTCTTCTAATACTGTTTGTTAGGAAGTTACGTGTATATGAGAGGAGAAAGAGAAGTAAGTAGAAGTTAGTTAGCCTAACTGCAATAACAGTTAGGAAAGGCGGGATGTGTAGTTTAAGAGAGTGAATAATTGATTAGAGAGGGTGCTGTTGTTTTGTGAGTTGTACAGGAAGCGTGAATCCTGTAGGGGGAGGTTAAGCTCTCTAACTGTATCCCAAACCTGTATTCGTGCTTGTGAATAATACAACGAGAGTTATACAGTAGTTTCTGATATGTTTAGTGTGCGTTTACCTTAGGTTCTTGAATTAGGAACCTAACATTTGGTCTGACCTGCCGGATTGAGAGAGAGGTTGACGGAGATGGAGAGCAAAACGGAGGGAAGGTTGGAGACCCTTGAAATTACGGTAGAAGGGATTAAGGCGGAAACCGCTGCGATACGACGGGACATGCAGCAGATGATGCGGCTCATGGGAGGAGGAGCGAACAGTCAAGATGGAAGGTCTGCCGGAAGGAGTAATTCAGTGAACGATAATCAAGAGAGACGTGATCAAGGTAGCTTCCAACAGAATTGGCGGAAACGGGTGGACCTACCGGCGTTTGAGGGAACGGAGCCACACAGTTGGATTAATCGGGTAGAATGGTTCTTCGACATCCAGAAGGTAGCGGAGGAGGACAAGGTGGAACTTGCCTACATTAGCATGGAAGGTAGTGCGAGTTATTGGTTTAAGGTCTGGAAAGATAAGGCAACAGATCGTTCGTGGACTGGGTTGAAGTTGGCTTTGTTGAATCGGTTTGGAGGAGGTTTCAGAGGAACCGTGTTCGAACAGATGGCGACGCTACGGCAGGAGGGGACAGTGGAGGAATACGTCAGAAATTTCGAAATCTTGCTGGGCCAAACCCAGGGATTGGCGGAAGAGTTAGTATTGGGGTTTTTCCTCGCGGGGTTACGAGAGGACGTTAAGGGACATGTTCGTATCCAAGATCCCCAAGAATTCATGGTGGCGGTGAGAATTGCGCGGGACGTAGAGGATGCAATGTTCAAAGCGCAGGGAGGGGTGTGGAATGGCTTTAGGCCGAACACCACGAGTACGCGNGCAGGGGAGGGGCAACAAGAGTAGTGGAGACAATTTTCATGCTGCTCCAAACATTGATCACTCGCAGGAATTTGTGAGAAAGGATCTTAAAGAATGGTTATTGTGGTTGAGGTTTGCATTCTAGATCCTAATTTTCAATGCCTTTTGCATGTAATGTCCACAGAATGTTTAGTCAGATGAGAATATAGTCAGCCAGTTTGTTACTTGATACATTCTTAGTTAAATTTCTGAAATAGCAATGCTGGAGATCTAACCTTCTTTAGACTTTTTATAATCTTTCCTCTTGGAAGCTGCTCCAGAATGTCTTAATCAATTAGCTTGACCAATATGCTCTGTTGCTTGAGTGTCCATGGTGGCACTTGAGCAACATTAAGTGGTGCATGCAATGATGACGCACCACTTAGGTGTTGTTTGAGCAGCAGTCCACCACTATAGTAATATTAATCTACAAACACAAATTTCACTAACATTATTTTCAAAATTTGTTATAACAATTATACTGTGTAACAAATTTTTAAAATACCAACTAAACTTCAATTAAGGTTTATGTCGTATGGTTATTTTTATACTCATACTTGAAAATTCTTACAATTATACACATGCTTATAATGTCACTTTTCAGCTTACATCCCATTTTAATCACCATAAAATCCACACATCTAAACAATATTTTTAGAATGTAATAAGCGGTTACAGATTTCTAGGGAAGTAAGCGTTGCATAATCTGGGAATTAGGATGATCGATTCCTAATTATTGGGTGTTTTAATTATAATTGATTATGTATTATGCTATAAATACATAATGTGTGGTTTGCATTAGACACACAATACACTCAGACATTATACAATTCTATATGGTATCAGTAGTTTAGGGTTTCGATCTTGGTTTATTTTTTTTTTCTCTTTGTTTTTTTTGGGTGAACAGTAACTGCGGCCATTATGTGCCCCTTTTCTCTGTCACCGAGTGTCCTTTTCCTCCGGTGACCACTGCGATCGAGATCCTCTTCCTTTGGTGACCACTACGCTTCATTCACCGGTTCGATCCACCGTCGCACGCACCAACATGCGCCACCTATTTTTGGCGCATACGTCTCACCCAATTGACCGAGCTTCTCCTTTGTTGGCCGAGCTTCTCCCTGGAAAATTGAGCTTCTCCTCGGCTGACCGAGCTTCTCCTCTATTGGCCGAGCTTCTCACCGACAGATTGAGCTTCTCCTTTGTTGGCTGAGCTTCTCCCTGGAAGACCGCGCTTCTCCTCTGTTGGTTAAGCTTCTCATTGGCAGATCGAGCTTCTACCCAACTAACCAGGCCTTCTGCATGCTCCCTTATACCCCAACCCCCTTTTTAGCCCATTTCAGGTACTTTTCCCATGGCTTTTGAAAGCTAACACTCAAGTACCTCCTTTGCCATTAGTTTTACCACTGTTCTATTGATTCCATGTGAACAATTGACTAGGATGAGCAACTATAGCTCTTGGGTGTCTCTTTCTAGCTATGGCTACTATTCATCATTGGCCTCTTCATCAACTAGATATTAAAAATGCATTCCTACATGGTGAATAACAAAAATTTTATACGGATCAACCCCTTGGCTTTCTTTCTCCCGGCGATTCTCGTCTTATTTGTAAGCTTCAACAGTCTCTCTATGGTTTGAAGAAATCTGCCCGGGCTTGGTTTGGTCGTTTCAGTTCTGTCTTGACACATCTTGGCATTACTAGGTGTGAGGTTGATCATTTTGTCTTCTCTTTTCTTTCCTTATATGGCAAGTGCATTTACCTTGTTTATGTTGATGACATTGTCATCATGGGTATTGATGAGGCTGGGATTCGACAACTCAAAGAGCACCTTTAATAACAATTTCATACTAAAGATCTCGGTCCTCTAAAATATTTCTTAGGAATTGAAGTTGCTCAATTTGCTTTTGGAATTGTCATTACTCAATGTAAGCATGTCCTACACATTCTTACTGAAACTGCCATGGTTGACTGTCGTCCTTGTGATACTCTTATGGATCTTGATATCAAGCTTCTTCCGTGTCATGGGGAGACATTGAAAGATCTGAAAAGATATCGTCGCCTGGTAGGTAGACTCAACTATCTCACTATCACCAGACTTGACATTACTTTTTGCGGTTAGTATGGTAAGCCAATTTCTAAATGGTCCTTGTGATAGCCATTGGGATGCTGTGACATGTATCCTTTGATACATAAAAAATATAGTTACTAAGATCACTTGTTACTTTGATGTGGATTAGGCAGGATCACAATCAGATAGAACATCCACTTTTGAGAACTGTGTTCTTATCGGAGGAAACCTTATCTCATGGAGAAGCAAGGAGCAAAATATAGTTGCTAGGTCTAGTGCAAAATTAGAATATCGTGCTATGGCAACAACCACTTGTGAGTGTTGAAATGTAATGTTTCTTTATTATTATTATTTATGTATGGGAACCCAACTGTTAGGTTAGGGTTTTGGGAGGTGCATGACCTTTTGTATTTTGCACCTTTGTACTCTATAAATACAGTAGTAAATTGTAACAATCTATTAAGGAAAAATACACTGTTTTACTTAATTCAAGTTCTTCAACTTGGTATTAAGAGTGAGACCTTTCATCTTCATTGTCTGTCATCAGCACTTTCGCTTTTGCCGTTCGCTACCGCCGTCCGTCGTTGCATCTTCTTTGGCGAAGTCAAGGTTATGTATGTCTCAAGAAGTGTGACTCATCCCTGGTGGTTGTCGCCTCAAGAACCTTACGTGCTGTCATGCACTGTTGTTTTCTGGCTAGCTTCGGAATCACACCATGCCGCTACCTTTTGTCTTGCTTAAGCCTCTTGAACATATTGCTGTCCATGTCCTTCTGTTTCGTTGGCCGTAACTTACACTTAGGGTTTTTCCCTCAAGATAGGATTTTCCTTTCATGTTTTCTTTTTCGGAATGGCTTCTCCTATTGGAATGACTTCCTTTCTATCTATTACTCCTACTATTACCACTGCAAAGCTCAACTGGAAAAATACTTATCTTGGTCCACTTACGTGGTTTAGGCAACTACTACTACAACTAAAAATAGGAGACATCCATGAAACAAAGCTTATTTATAACAATCAAGCTGCATTTCACATCACATCAAACCCGGTTTTCCATGAAAGAACTAAACACATTGAAAAGTCACTTTATTAGAGAAAAGGTGCTCTTTGGAGAAATTAGTACTGATTTTGTCAACTCTAGCAATCAGCTGGCTGACATGTTTTATGTTCATCAAGTCCCTTAGAGGCCTTCAGATCATTTATAACAAACTTGGTACATATGACATATATGCTCTAGCTTCTGGAGGAGTGTTAGAATGTAATAATCTATCACAGATTTCTAGAGAATTATGCGTTACATAATCAGAGAAAGAAATTAGGACAATTGATTTCTAATTATTAGGTGTTTTTATTATAATTTATTATGTGTTATGTTATAAATATATAGTGTGTGGTCTGCATTAGACACATAATACATTCAAAACATATACAATTCAATAAATATCATACTAAATAGATGCTATTTACCTGAAGATAATGTGCTTACTAAGGAAACTTTTTCTTATGCCTCTTGGAAACCTGGCTGTACTTCCATAAGCATAAGTCCCTACATTGACAGCATCTTCCTTTAATCAAACCACTATGACCTTTCCTTTCCAAACCCAAGAAAAGAAGAAAATGTATTGAACCAATGATAGGAAATAATAACTTACCTAGATCAATATTATGATTAGTCTATCTTTATCCACCGGCTGCCATTTCTTCGGTGATATAATTTGTTTATAAAACAGATTATTCCAAACTTCAAAATTCTAGAGTTTAGATGAGATTTTAGAGCGGTAGAGTTTCTAACGAAATAAAGAATGAATATTGATAACTCATTTATAAACCTTTATTCTATATCTATTTTAAAATGTATCTCTAAAGAAAACTTAGATCTTACAGCTCAAGTTAATGGTGAAAGTATGTTATGCCTTTTTTATTATTAATAATAAATATTATGCAAAGATTTTCAATTTTGGATATTTTTTACACCATTTACATGTTCATACTATAGATTATAGATTATTTATCTAGTATCTATAATCTTCAATATAATGGCCATCCTGCCAACCACTAAAGCGGTTTTCAGGTAGGCCTCTATGTACCATAACTTAGGTTGGGATTGATAACCAGGCCTTTTTATCTTGCGATCCAAACACTCAGTTGATTCTTTCCTTTCTTCCTACGTTCATAATTATTTGCCTTTTGTAATATTGTTCTATTTAAGAGTATTTAAAGTATAATAGATGATCTCATAGAGTGATATGCGTATTTCATGATTTGATATCTAATTTAATTGGACATAGGAGTCTAGTATATGAATATAAACAAGGGTAAGTAATTTGTGTTTTTTGATCCTTCTAGTAAATGTTAGAGAATGTGATTCATTGTTTGTTTTATTCTCTCTCTCTCTACCTTAATCCCTATTCCCTAAAATTTCAAGAAATACTATTTTTCTACGATGCTTTGTTAATGACTTCTTTACCTCCCCACTCCCTCATCTTTTTTTGCTTTGAAGTATTACAATAATTGTAGTTTTTTTTCTTCTAATACTGTTTGTTAGGAAGTTACGTGTATATGAGAGGAGAAAGAGAAGTAAGTAGAAGTTAGTTAGCCTAACTGCAATAACAGTTAGGAAAGGCGGGATGTGTAGTTTAAGAGAGTGAATAATTGATTAGAGAGGGTGCTGTTGTTTTGTGAGTTGTACAGGAAGCGTGAATCCTGTAGGGGGAGGTTAAGCTCTCTAACTGTATCCCAAACCTGTATTCGTGCTTGTGAATAATACAACGAGAGTTATACAGTAGTTTCTGATATGTTTAGTGTGCGTTTACCTTAGGTTCTTGAATTAGGAACCTAACATTTGGTCTGACATGCCGGATTGAGAGAGAGGTTGACGGAGATGGAGAGCAAAACGGAGGGAAGGTTGGAGAACCTTGAAATTACGGTAGAAGGGATTAAGGCGGAAACCGCTGCGATACGACGGGACATGCAGCAGATGATGCGGCTCATGGGAGGAGGAGCGAACAGTCAAGATGGAAGGTCTGCCGGAAGGAGTAATTCAGTGAACGATAATCAAGAGAGACGTGATCAAGGTAGCTTCCAACAGAATTGGCGGAAACGGGTGGACCTACCGGCGTTTGAGGGAACGGAGCCACACAGTTGGATTAATCGGGTAGAATGGTTCTTCGACATCCAGAAGGTAGCGGAGGAGGACAAGGTGGAACTTGCCTACATTAGCATGGAAGGTAGTGCGAGTTATTGGTTTAAGGTCTGGAAAGATAAGGCAACAGATCGTTCGTGGACTGGGTTGAAGTTGGCTTTGTTGAATCGGTTTGGAGGAGGTTTCAGAGGAACCGTGTTCGAACAGATGGCGACGCTACGGCAGGAGGGGACAGTGGAGGAATACGTCAGAAATTTCGAAATCTTGCTGGGCCAAACCCAGGGATTGGCGGAAGAGTTAGTATTGGGGTTTTTCCTCGCGGGGTTACGAGAGGACGTTAAGGGACATGTTCGTATCCAAGATCCCCAAGAATTCATGGTGGCGGTGAGAATTGCGCGGGACGTAGAGGATGCAATGTTCAAAGCGCAGGGAGGGGTGTGGAATGGCTTTAGGCCGAACACCACGAGTACGCGGGTTTCGTCGGCGGTCGTTTGAGGAGATGCCGATCGGTCGTCGGTGAATCGACCAGGGGGGACGGCGAACAGTGGCGCGAACAGACGAGAAGGGGGGACGACAAGTGGTAGTGTAAGGGGAAGTACCTTTGGAGGGGGTGATAACAGAGCGCGAACGGTGCGCAACTTACCTTACCCCGAATATCTGAAGAGGAGGGAAGAAGGACGTTGTTTCCGATGTGGGGGTCCTTTTGCGCTGGGCCATCGTTGTGCCGAAGGGAGCTTGAGAGTTTTATTGCTGGCGGAAGATGAGGAGGACGACGGCGATGATGAAACCAACCAAGAAGTCAAACCGATGGAATTATCTGCATGCTCAGCGGTGGGTTTAACTCAACCTCGAACAATGAAGGTGAAGGGGAAGATCGGAGACCGAGAGGTGTTGGTCCTCATTGATAGCGGGGCCAGCCACAATTTCATTAATCGAAGGTTGGCGGAGGAGTTGGAACTAACTATTACAGAAACGGCCCCGTATACTGTAAGTCTAGGGGATGGACAGAGGAAGATAACGAGGGGTTACTGTGAGAGAGTCGGCGTTGTTCTGGGAGAGGCGGAGGTTGAAGAGAAGTTCCATCTTTTTGAGTTAGGCGGAGTCGATGCTATATTGGGGGTAGAATGGTTAGAAAAATTGGGTGAAGTAGTGTTAAATTGGAGGGCAATGACCATGGGGTATTGCACGGGGGTAAAAGGGTGGTGATACAAGAAGATCCTGCTCTAACCCGACAGCTGGTGGAGCCACACGCTTTGCTGAAAATGATAGATGCTGAGTCATGGCTGATTATTTGGGAGTTGGGCCGAGTGGAGAATGAGCTGGACCGAGAAGAAGAGGTGGATTTGACAGAAGCACAGAGGGCAGAGATGGGGACACTTCTGCAGAAGCACTACCGTGTTTTTCGAGAAGTGCAGGGGTTACCACCGACTCGAAACTTGGTGCACCGGATACCATTAAAAGAAGGGGAAGACCCAGTGAACGTCCGCCCTTATCGTTACCCACATCTGTTAAAAGGCGAAATCGAGAGGCAAGTGGCTGACATGCTGCAAGCGGGAATAATACGACCCAGTTCGAGTCCGTATTCCAGTCCGGTGATACTGGTACAGAAGAGAGACAAAAGCTGGCGCTTTTGCGTGCACTATCGGGCGTTAAACCGAGCGACTATTCCAAACAAATTTCCCATCCCTGTCATCGAAGAACTCCTGGACGAATTGAGAGGGGCTGCTTATTTTTCGAAGATCGACCTTAAAAGCGGCTATCACCAGGTCAGAATGGGGGAAGAAGACATACACAAAACGACATTTAGAATGCGATGAATGAAATGTTACAAAGGTACTTACGAAAATTTGTATTGGTCTTCTTCGATGATATTTTAGTTTACAATGCCAGCTGGGAGGAGCACCTGGGACATGTAAATCTGGTGTTGGAAGTATTAGAAGGAAGTGACTGGATAGCCAACAAAAAGAAATGTGAGTTTGGGAAAAAGAAGATAGCGTACTTGGGACATCAAATTTCAGAAGCAGGAGTTGAAATGGATGGGGACAAAGTTAAGGCCGTGGTAGAATGGAAAGAACCGAAGACTCTGAAAGCATTAAGGGGATTCCTGGGTTTAACGGGGTATTACAGGAGATTTGTGAGAGGATATGGAAAAATAGCTAAACCTTTGACGGAGTTGTTGAAGAAAGGCAAATTTTTATGGTCAGAACAAGCCAGTCAAGCCATGGCAGAACTGAAGAAGGCGGTCACTACAGCACCAGTGTTAACTTTGCCTGATTTTAATCAGGAGTTCCACGTTGAATGCGATGCTTCAGGAGGGGGAATAGGAGCTGTACTCACTCAAGGCAAGAAACCCATTGCATTTTTTAGCAAAGCACTATCCGAGACTTCCATGAACAAATCGGTATACGAAAAAGAGTTAATGGCGTTGGTGTTGGCTATCCAACATTGGAGACCTTATCTACTAGGAGGAAGTTTGTGGTGCATACTGATCAATGCAGTTTAAAGTATCTGTTGGAGCAAAGGATTACTACATACAGCCAACAAAACTGGATAGCCAAGTTGATGGGCTATGAGTTCGAAATCATGTATAAGAAGGGGAGTTCCAATACGGTGGCTGATGCCTTATCAAGGAAGGAAGTAGGAGAAATGGAGGAGCCAGAGTTACGGGTGATGTCCAGGTCCTACTGGCAGGATTTTCAGGAGGTATTAAGGGAGGTGGAAGAAGATGAGACGTTAAAAAAGGTAATAGCTGACATTCAAAGGGATCCCGACTGCCATGCAGCGTATACTCTAGAAAATGACCGACTGCACTACAAGGGGAGACTTGTAATATCCGAGACATCGACCTGGATTCCCAAACTTTTGGCTGAGTTTCACGTAACGAATACCGGAGGACATTCTGGGGTATTTAGAACATATAGAAGGATAGCCCAGTCGCTTTATTGGAAGGGTATGAAGAAAGCTATCACCGATTTTGTGGCAGGATGCGTAATTTGTCAGCAGCACAAGTATATGGCAGCTTCCCCCCAAGGGTTGTTGCAACCTCTACCGATACCGCAAGCAGTATGGGAGGAGATCACCATGGATTTTATTGTTAAGCTACCTAAATCACAAGGTTATGATGCTATATTGGTTGTGGTGGATAGGCTGAGCAAATACGCACACTTTATGGCACTTAGACATCCTTATTCGGCTAAAACGGTGGCGGAGGTGTTTATCCGAGAGGTTGTCAGGCTACATGGGGTTCCTGTCTCAATTGTGAGTGATCGAGATCCTTTGTTCTTGAGTACGTTTTGGAGGGAGCTTTTTAGAATGCAGGGGATACAGCTCAATATGAGTACTGCTTACCACCCGGCCACGGATGGACAGACTGAGGTAATTATTCGGATTTTGGAGGGATATCTGAGATGTTTTTGCTCAGAGCAGCCCAAGAACTGGCATGCAGTGTTACCGTGGGCTGAGTACTGGTACAACACCAACTACCAGGGAGCTGCGAGATGCACGCCGTTTGAAACGGTCTATGGAAGAGCTCCTCCGTCGTTGAACAGATTTGTGCCGGGGGAGTCAGTGGTAGAGGCAGTCGCACAAGATCTCATGACAAGAGACGAGGCTTTAGGCAACTGAAATTTCACCTAAGTCGTGCTCAAGATTTAATGTGAACCAAGCGAATAGGAAGAGAAGAGATGTGGACATTAAAGTGGGGGACTGGGTCTATCTTAAAATTAGACCCCATAAGCAAGCATCTATACCAGTTCGTTTACATCCTAAACTGGCAGCTCGATACTTTGGCCCTTTCCAGGTGCTACAGCAGGTGGGCCCAGTGGCATTCAGACTACATATGCCAGAAAATGCACGTATACATGCAGTCTTTCATGTGTCAACTCAAGAAAGCGGTGGGACCAAAGAAGGTTGAGAAAGACCTACCAGCTGAGCTACAAGCAGAGGGGCCTACATATTGGCCAGTGGGAATGTTGGGGACGAGGCAACGACAGCAAGGGAATGAGAAAATACAACAGAACCTGGTTCAGTGGCAGGAGGGTGGCAGCGAAGGAGCTACGTGGGAAGACGTGTTGACTATCCAAGATCAGTATCCTGATTTTAAGTTCAACCTTGAGGACAAGGTTGCTGAAGAAGGGGAGGGTAATGTTAGGAAGTTACGTGTATATGAGAGGAGAAAGAGAAGTAAGTAGAAGTTAGTTAGCCTAACTGCAATAACAGTTAGGAAAGGCGGGATGTGTAGTATAAGAGAGTGAATAATTGATTAGAGAGGGGGCTGTTGTTTTGTGAGTTGTACAGGAAGCGCGAATCCTGTAGGGGGAGGTTAAGCTCTCTAACTGTGTCCCGAACTTGTATTCGTGCTTGTGAATAATACATCGAGAGTTATACAGTAGTTTCTGATATGTTTAGTGTGCGTTTACCTTAGGTTCTTGAATTAGGATTAGGAACCTAACACTGTTACTTTTCAGGAGAGAAATCGGGTATGATGGGTGGAGGCTTGACTTTGTCAGAGGATTTTGGGGTGGTTATGTAAAGGACTACCTGGAAGCAAGTGAGCCATACTTTGCTGTAGGAGAGTATTGGGATTCTCTTAGTTATACATATGGTGAAATGGATCATAATCAAGATGCACATAGGCAAAGGATCGTTGACTGGATCAATGCTACTGGTGGTACTGCTGGCGCATTTGATGTTACAACAAAAGGAATTCTTCACTCTGTAAGCACTCAAGTTGATTGTTTCAACTTTCAGCTTCATTTATTTTAAATATCTCATGTGTAAGATTTTCTGAATCTACCGGACATAGCTCTTGGAGGACTTGAAAATTTTACCAAGTCATTTATCTGTTTTGAAATATTACTAGTTTCTGTCTTGTTGGAATTTGTTTGCAATCTTTTTTTTTTCGTGAAGGCAGTAAACTACTATGTTTCTTTGACTTCTTTTTTGTTTTAAATTATTGCTTCTAGTGAACGAATCTCATTGCTAATAAGCTGCTTGTTGCCATAGGAGAGATTTAATAGATGTTCATACGGGAGAGAATTATGTTATGACTTGACTATAATGTATTGTATGGTAAATATGAATAATTAGCATACTTTTCTCTTGCACATATAGGCTTTGGAAAGATGTGAATACTGGCGCTTGTCAGATCAGAAGGGGAAGCCCCCTGGTGTTCTTGGATGGTGGCCATCTCGTGCTGTTACTTTTATAGAAAATCATGATACTGGTTCTACCCAGGTTTGAGCTTCCCCTTTCAAAAATATTCTGATACTCTTAGAAATTCTTTCAAGGCTAATTTTTGATAGAAATAATTCATTATCTTTGACCGCACCTATTATTATGAATGACTTCATTAGTAAGATTGGACGTTTCAAATTAGGAATTTCACTCTGAATCTTTTCGAATATATATACTATCATAAAGTTTCTTTCATATTATGGTTATACTTAATACTTATTTGTTATGCTAAAATATAAACTATCGTAAATTTTCTTTCATATTTTCTTGTATGAAGGGTCATTGGAGATTTCCCAGTGGAAAAGAAATGCAAGGATATGCTTACACTCTTACTCACCCAGGAACTCCATCAGTATTCTATGACCATCTTTTTTCTCAATATAAAACTGAAATATCAACACTTCTCTCTATCAGAAAGCGGAACAAGATCCACTGCAGGAGTACAGTGAGTATCAGAACATTCTATTATGTACTGCATACAATTGTTTAAATGGATAATTTCTGGGGTGGATGACGAGGAACTTCTTCCTTGCCATAACAAAGTCATAGAAACTGAAAATCTATCACTGCATTATGTACTGACAGCCACTGCACTGAAATTAACGCATCAGAAAATGTGGCAAAGTAATACGTAATTCATAATTCTTTCAACCGGAAAAGGAAAATACAGAATGACAATAATCTCTATGGTGTTAGTTGTTGTTTCAAAACCTTAATTTCAAAATAACTCTCCAGCACTTACCCATCTATCCCTTCTTTAATTCATTGCTTTGCTCCTAACTTTTCCCTCATGCTGGCCACTTTAGGTAGTTTATTGCAGCCCAGATCCTCATTTCACACCTCTTTCTCACAGCATCCTCACTATCCGAAGTTTCTAAACTTCCTAATTTACAGTGATGGAGTTATATCACAAAACATGTTTTGGTTATCAACTTATGCTAGCAGAATGAACTAATTACTCATAGTAATATAGATGACAATTGCAATAACGTTGGACAAGTAAATGAAAATATCTGCTTGCAACATTCCTTGAGAATGCATCTGAGCTTTCGCTGCAACAATGTCTTTACTACTGAGATTTAAAACTTGAAAAGCGTGACATTTACTTTTCTTGGTGTTTGATACGGGAACCCACAAGCATCCTTACATATTATATCTTAATAAAAAGTTTGAATATTTTCTTTAGATAACGTAGAAACGTTGACATTATTTTGGAACACTAACCTTTGCAGCTTTGATAATTCTTATGTTTAAGGTTAAAATTTGCAAGGCAGAAAGGGATGTTTATGCAGCTTTGATAGATGAAAAAGTTGCTATGAAGATTGGACCTGGTCAATTTGAACCACCCAGTGGATCCCAAAAATGGTCCTCAGCTTTGGAGGGAAGGGACTATAAGATTTGGGAGGCATCGTAATATCACTCTTTTTATCTTTCAAGTGTATGTTCCTTTGGAAAATCATCATCACCACTTTGTACATGTTTCTTAGGAGGCAAGTATAAAGACAGAAGAATAGATGATGGTGTGACAAGCCATAATTGCTGTATAGAAGCAATATTATATAGAAAAGATTGCAGAGGGTTCATTTCAGTCCACTGCTGACTCTTCTGGAATCAGAAAGCCTTAATATTATACATTACTTTGTTTATACACAATGTACAATATTTAGATATTTACTATTGACAATAATGTATGCAACTGCCATATATGGTACATAATTCTTTGAGCAGCTTCCTGAATCAAGATGGCAATGTATTGGACAAAAAGGAAAGGGAATGTTTATATGAATGAATAAGTTGATAATTTCATGATAGCTTATCGATTTATTTATTTAATTTCAAAATTCTTGGATTAGGGAATATCTACTCAAAATGAAAATTTTATCCTTAATTTCCCTTGTCTTTAAAATCTTTTTTCCAAACATGCCCTAAGATTACAACTATATTTATGAATTTAGTTTTTCTTTTATTTAGTCAGATTTTCTTAAATACTACAAAATATCGACCAGAAGATGATGTAATAACTTGTTACTTTTTGGAAAGTTATATGATCATTTTTCTATCAGGCTAACATTGTTTTAAATTGTAAGTTTTCAATCAATGCAAACTTGACAAGAATATAATTACGATGTTAGTAGTTTGAATTTAAAAGGACTTACCAGACTTTATTCACAGGATAATCCCATAACTTCTCAGCGTCTCAGTTGAACACAAGTAAAGGTGGTTTTTTGCTTCTGTATTTATAGCTATAATTCAATATTGTTTTACTTAATGTGATTCCTATGTATTTTTTTTAAAAAAAACTTCCACTAATTCAGTCCACTAGTTCAGCCTAAACATAAATGACGATGAACTGATACTAGATGTTAATACAATCATTTACTATTTCTTTCACATTTATTGTTTTATTTCATGAGTAAAATATAATGACTTTAATGATAATGTTTTTTTATTAGAAAAAGAATTTACAAATGTGAATATGTACTTGGGGACATCAACCTAAATAAATAAAAAATTAGTGTAAAGAAACCATATATTACAAAAGACAGAGATGGTATTTCATTCAAAATAGTCCTAAATGGCCAACCTAAGACAAAGTTATTAAACGTACTTATAAACTGAGCAAACACAAAACTGAGTTAGAAATTAAAACATTGTCTTTGTCTCTTCTTTATATTTCTATTGGTCTTGCTTATTATCCTATTTTCTTGTGTGTTGTTCCAAATGATACAATTGTTTAAAAGACCAACAACAACCAATTCAAAATTTGTTCCTCATATATTTACAATATTTCTTCATATGTAGCCATGTAAACCATGTAACTGATTTTGTAATTTGAGAAGTGGACAATGATGTAAAATTATATGTGGAATATCATAGAAAAATAGTATAGTGATTTCTCACTGAGATAGTTTCATATTGCATGCCTAAGCTTTGACAAGCAATCAACCCAACCCTTCACTTTTGTATGCTTATAATGCATGCCATTGGACAAATGCACTGGTAAAAAAAAATGAGAAGTTTGCTTCTTTAGATTTGTTTCTAATCCATGTCTAGATTTTCAATTTAGCGTTCCAAATATTCCCTCTCCATAAATTATGACACTCATAAACAACACATTATTTATATGTTCCCATATACTTATCATTATTGTCATTCACATAGTTTTTCAGATAATGTTTCCATTATTATTCATCCTAAGCATGCAGAACTGATGGAAATAAGTTTCAAGTCGTGCTAGAATCATGCATATTAATCTCCCTAGTCGTAATTTGCAAAACATACGAAGAATTCACATGTCCTAATCTAGCCATGCATATATCATACATCAACAATATAGCAGAAGAACTTATTCATTAATATATTCAAACATTTAGAATGTAAGAAGTCCTTGATGCACAATATCCCTTCCCCGACCATATTATTTTTTTGTCATGATGATCTTGTCAGACTCAAATGACACTTTAACCCCCACCTTTCCCAATAGTGCTACAGAGATTAAATTAAGTCTGATTGATGAACATGTAGCACATCACTCAAGGCCAGATCTTTCCAGATGTGAGTTTGAGAAGTAACTTTTCCTTTTCCCAGAACAGTGAGTGGTCCTGGAATCACCGAGGTAACGTGTTCTTCTCCATCCCCTACACTAGTGTAAGAGGTAAAGACACTTCTGTTTGCATAGATTATGCTATGGTAGCACAGAGTCTACTACCCACTTGCTCACATTGGTCATCAGATTCACTTGAAAACGACTGCAACAATAATGTCATCTCCTTCGGCTATATTGGCCCTAGTGAGGATTGTCGTTTCTCGCTCTACGTCTGCACTGTGGTGCATGATGGCCGGCTTCCCACATACGATGACAATTTCCTTTCTTTCTTAAAGGTGGGTTTAGATTCATGGTGACGAGATTTAAGAAATTATTTTTCTTTTTGTGATCAGGTTTGTATTCGTACCTTTTTGGAGCAGGTTTTACTTCTACCCTATTTGCTTTCGCAGATAAAGCTTTGGCCCTTGTAGAGCAGACTCCTTCCTGTTGGTATCTTCAATATTATGTGTGTACTGAGTTTCTGGTAGAGACATTTGCTTGTGCCTGTGTTTCAAGTGTTGTTTGTAATCTGTCCAGGATGCGGCAATTTCCTCGATCAGAAGTTTCTGAACAAATTCATCCGTTAGTAGAATGTTTTCTGCTTTGATGTGTTCGAGCACTTTGTGGTATTCATTGATGTTGAGTTTTTTATGTCCCTTGCTTCAATCATTTCCCAACGGTAGTAATTCCTATACAATCTGTCGACGACATATTCGACAGTGTATTTGAAATAACGAGTCCCAATGTCCTTGCTTCCTTGTACGAACAATACACATCGAACAAATCATAAAAGTGGCACTAAGCAGAGTGGTGGTACGCGCATACCTTGTTCGCGTAAGTCCACTCTTTCAACAAAAAAAAGAAAAAAAAAAAAAAAATACAAAAAAAAAAAAAAAAAAAAAAAAAAAAAAAAAAAAAAAAAAAAAAAGTTTGAGTTTGAAGGAATAGTGGAGTCAGGCTTCGGAGATGAAAGAGCAGCAACAACTCCATACATGCTAAAAGGGTGGAAACGCGTTCTTGCCAGCGTCGGAAGTTCTGTCCAGAGAAAATCTCGATTTTTGACACGTCCGCGAAGGTCGATTTTGGGCGAAACCGGATGGGTTCCGGAAGCAATGGTTTGGCTCTCTGAGTGCATGTTGTTTATGTCACCCATAAGTCCTTAAGATTGTTGGAAAAGCTGTACAAAATATTATTTCCTGAGGCGTGTGAGAGTCACTTCCTTAGGACTTATCGCGGTGTGTGTTGCGCAAGTCCTCGGATACAACAGGACTTCTCAAAATGTTGAGGATCTCAAGAACTAGCAAGGAACTCTAAACAAGCGTTAAGATACCCAGAATATTTTAGAATGAGAGAACGAGCTAAAGAAAGAAATTCAAGAAAGAAAGAATAAAGAGCTGAATTTTGATGTGTCTTGAATGGAGGAGGAGCTCCTAGTTATAGAGCTAGAAGAATCAAGAAAATAATGAAATTAAAAAAATCATAAATGATTTAATTAAAACAAATTTGTTTGCACGTTTGAAAGAAATTGAACGTGCCACCCAACGTTCCAAACATTAAAGCTCACAATTTAATATTTTTAAACCACACTTAACTTTTGCAATAATATAATATTAATATATTATAACAAAATATGCATTCAATTAGCAAAATAATAAATATAGATGAGAAAAAGATGAAAATTTTTCCATTACTATAGTGAAGCAAATGAAATCCATAATGTAAACACTTTATATGAAGAATGGGCATGACAACCATTGCAACCAGGGAAACACTAAGGGAATGTGGTACTTAGACAGTGTTGTTTTCAAAGAACAAGATGTTGTATCCAACATTTGTTTTTTAAATTGTAAGGTA